ACCAAGAAGAAAAGTCGCAGCAGAATGCCGACTTCCACAAGGTGAAGCTGAAGGTCGGCAAGGCGGCTGGCCCAGCGGCGTCCGCGACGCAGACCTCGTTCAAGGTCGCCATGATCAACATGCCGGCGCAGTCCGTGGTCGTCCACGCCGAGCGCACGCAGGCCCAGCAAGCACAGATCAACCGCATGCATCTTGCTGCAGCAGCGGCGCCGACGGTCGCTCCCACACTTACTGCGCATGCGGCCGAGCCAGCTGCACCACATGGACTGGCTGCTGCTGGACAGCCCTCCGCCCCACAACACGCCCATGGACGAGGCCCGTCTGCTGATGCTACTGCAAGCAAGTCGTCGTCGGACAAGGCAGCCGCAGCAGCAGCTGTCGAGGCTCAGGCAATGATGATGGTCGAGCCGATCACCGAGCGAGGACTGAGCGTCGGAGAACTGCTCGTCCAGCTGCGGCACTACTCGCCAACAGTGCGCAAGGACGCTGCGTTTGGACTCAAGGAGCTCGTGCTGCAGTACCCGTACGCAATGGTCAACCGCGCGTCGCAGCTCAGCGCAATCACCGAGCGATCGGTCGAGCTGATCTCGGACGTCGAAGGCCCAGTCCGGCGCGCCGTGCTCGGGTTTCTGCAGGCGCTGGTTGCGCGTATTGACGAGGAAAAGATGCGGCCATTCTTCCCGCTGTTCATGGTGCACACGTGCAGCGCCATGACTCACATTCGCGACGACATTCGCCTGGACTCGCTGCTCTTCCTCGACCTGCTCCTCGAGCGCTATCCACGCATGATTGTGGCCCATAGTCGCGACATTCTGCCAAACTTTATCGAGCTGCTGTCGGCGCGAGGTGACACCAAGCCCGCAGGAGGTGCCGTCTCGGCAAAGCCGGGTTCGACGGCCGCGGCCTTGGCTGTTGCTGCTGCGTCCGCCAGTGCCACCAGCACTGCTGCCAAGCTTGCTGCAACTGCCGGCCGTACTTTGCTGTCGAATCCTGCCGGTGCGCTTGCCACGACGCAGTCGCGCGCCAGCATTCTGTTGCGGCTCAAAGTCTTTTTGGACGCCTGTTTGAAAGAGCCCTCTGAGACCGCGACCAGCACGACCAGCACGAGCAGCACGAGCGTCTCTGAGGAGCAAACACGTCAAAGTAGCGATGATGGTGACACTGCCGGCTCGGATTCACTTCCAGTGTTTTTGGATCCAGCAACGCCGCTCAATCAAATTTGGATGCAGCACTCTGCAGGCAGCCGCTCCTGGAGCAACAACGGTCGCGCAGCGCTGACCATCCACAGCGCATCCGTGTACAAGTTTGGAGCTGCCATGTCGTTTGAGCGCATGACGGCAACATCTCTTCTCCAGGCCATGAGCACTGTCGGCCACAACCCTGACGCTGCATCCGCCACGCAGCGCTCTGTCGGTGGCAAAGCGGTGACTAGCAGCAGCTTGATTGCTCCCAACACCTCCATTGGCGACTTTAGCAACCCCGAACACTGTTTGGGCTTTCTTTCAACTGTACTGCCCTTGCTCTTGGAGGTCTGGATTGAGTGTGCGCCCGCCGACATTGACACACACGCCCAAGCCACCTTGTCGTGCATGAGCGTCATTCTCAGCATTGTGCGCCAGCTTTGCCGCCACACGACCTCGCTTTTACGAGCAGATGATGTTGGCGGCGAAGAAGCATCCACGTCGCGGCGGTTTGTCAGCTCGACGACCACCGCGCGCGCACGAAGCCTGCCTGCCGAGCAGCTGACCGAGTTTCGCAAGCACTTTATGACTTACTTTCCGTTTGGAGCCGGGGGCGACCAACGCGATCCAAAGCGTGCTGCACTGCTTCGAACCATGAATATCAGCACCTGCGACATTATGAGCTGCTTTTTGGAGGGCGTCAACCCCGAGGATGCCGTACACCACCTTGCTAGTGAGGCGTCATCCGAAGCACCACCACAGGCCCAAGCGCCGACCAACAAGCAAGCAAATTCAAACAGCAAAAAGCAGCAGCAGAACAAGTCCAAAAAGCTCTACGTGTCTGCATCGGGCGCATCCAGTGTGGGTCCCTCGTCCACCTCGATGGAAGATCTGCTTCCGAGGTTGCCCAGTCAGCAGCAGACACAGAGAACCGGCGGTTCAAACCGCTCTCTGACGACGGCGCCGTGGATTAGCGACATTGTCACGTTTGTTTCCAACGTGCTCAGCCAGGAACATCATTCTGGCCATCGCGTTTCCTCAGATACTGCCAGTAATGAGCTAACCAACCAGCACACCACTGCTCTTTTCCACACTGCAACGGCTCTGCTGCATCGGGTCGAACCCAAGCTGCAAGTCCTCCTCGTCACATCCGCAGCCGAGTTTCACAAGCACGCCAGCAGGTTGTCTGCGGCATCCAAGATTAGCTTGCGCTTTCTTGCTCGGGTCATCTTCCATTACGGCGCGCAGGCAGCGTCCGGCGTGCCGGAAGAGATTCTCGAAACCATCTCGACGGTGGTGGCCGGCTTGCCGAAACTGCTCTGGATGCTGGCCGACGATAATCCCACCTTCACTGGCATCATTCTTGATCTGCTGCTGAAAATGGCCCGGCATGCTCCCGCAAACGTTGTGCGCGAGGATGCGCCGCCAAACCAGTCTCCTTTGGCAAGTGGCAGCTGGCTTGCGCCGCTCCAGGCCGCTCTTGTGCCGTTTATGGGTGTCCAAGCCAAGGATGTGTGGCATTTCGGTCCATTTTTGCTCCTCCCACCCTTCATCCAGAGGCGATTTGTCGAGTTGTGGGCGCACCTGCCTCCGCAAACCTCGTCGTCCTTTTACGACGCTGTTGGAGCGTGCCTCGTCTCCCCCGCGCTCAACTCAAACACTGCAACGTACCTTTTAGAGACACTGTACTCGTCGCACGCGCGCGAGTTCCGCCGAGTGTCTGAACGCGCAGCGGATGCAACTGCTCACCACCACCACTTGTCCGCGAGCTCTGAGGAACTGCAGGAGGAAATCAAAGCACTTGCCGAGCTGACATCTTGCTCGCTGGGTGTGCTGTTTACGTCTGCAGTGGGCTACCGTCGCCGCGAGTGGGTTGCGCTGCAACAAGCCCTTCCATTCAAGCCAACTCCAGCTGGACTTTGCACCGCGCTGATGCCAGTGACAGGCCGAGCAGTGACCATTGTGTCGCCTCCACTGCAACAGAAATGGAAAGACGTGGCCACCACGCCGCGGTTTGTGCGAGTGTTTGGCAGGCTCGGCACCGATGCAAACGTGTACACGGACCAAGCAAAGCGATACTGGCACTTCCGGCAGCACTTGCTTGACTCGTGCTCTGGCGTCGTTCATGCGTTGCCTGCATCGCAAGTAGTGGCGCTGGCATCGACCGTTGCACGGGCCATGGACTCGACCGGTGCCCTCGTCGACGAAAGCGGACAGCCGGCAAACGCGCGCTGCCTGCCTTCCGACGCCGTGTTTGGACTCGTGTCCATGTGGACGGCGCTGGCTCCGCGCGTGACGACTCTCGGCATGCTTGAGCACGCGATTTTGGATTCCGCCACGTTTGCTCGCGTTGGTCAGCTCGGTCTCATTGCCATTGCATCTGCTCTGCAAGAGCATCAGGCTTTGCACATTGCTGCAGGCCTTCGGGCAGTGTCCAGCGCAGTCAGTGCCGCTGTGCGTGTCAACTCGGCCGTGCTCATCAGCGCACTCGAGCTGGCACAGCTGTCGGTCGAGTCGAGTGGCACTGCAGCTGACGCCTTGCTGCGGGCTGTTCTCGAGCTGCTGCAGAACGCCGCAAACCGAGCTGCCTTCATCCATGCTCGACCAATGCTTGACCGTCTCCTGCAAACATGCCAAGCGAGTGCCTCCGTGTCGCAAACGTTGACCGCGTCGCTCTCTACAGAGGCGTCGCTGCTGCAATGATTTTTTTTTTCGTTGCTGTGTTTGCGCAACCGTTCCTTTTTGTTACAAAATCAATTTTAATCAACAATATATTTCGAAAAAAGAAAAAAGCACACACACACGCACAACGCAAAAGAGAAGGAGGAGCCCAAATGATCAAGTAGATGATCCAATTTGCAAAAACACAAAACGAAGAAAAACCAAAGACAAGCAAATGAAAAAAAAAAAAAAAGCCCCGCTTCCTTTCACCAATCCATGGACTCGCGAGGAACAGGAATGGCGGCCTCGGGGAAGTGAACAACATCTTGAAGATGGTCCTTGAAGTTGGACCGGCCGCAGTTGACCGAGCCACCGTTGCCAGCATGGGGACCAACAATGAGAATGCGGTTGCGGGGAAGGCCAAACTCGCCGTAAGCGCGGATATCCGTCTCAGTGTTGCCGTACGCTGCCACAACATCGAGTCCGATGGCCTTGAGGTGGGAAATCCAGTCCCGCTTGAAGACGCCCACGGATGGGTACAGAGGGACGGTGGGCAGATGCGAGCGGGTGTGCAAAATGGGGCCAGGCGGGAACCCGTGTCGAATCAGCCAGTCGCGCGTCAGATTGTAAAAGGAGCCAGCACGGCCGCTGAGGTAAACGGGCATGTAGCCCTTGGCAAACCACATGCGAACGAGGGACAGCGCGCCCTTGCGCAGCTTGAGGTCGTAGCTGACGTTGACGGCATCCTTGACTGCCTGCTGCACCACTTCCTGGTCGCCAATGGTCAGGGTTCCGTCAATGTCATAGACAATGCACGCCGTGCCCTTGGGAACGACGTAGAGCGAGCCAGCAGCAATCGAGTGGTCGTGCAGGGCCACCATGCGAATGCGGTAGTGGGCGACCGTCGAGTGCACCCACTTTGGCATGGGCACAAAGACACGGCCCGCCATGTCCGTTCGGAAGGTACCAATGTGCATCCACTCGTCGGAGATGACGCGCTGGTCGCGCTGGACATAGACGTCGACGTCTTCGCTGCGCATGGGGGCGCTAAAGTACTCAAACAAGCCTTCGGCCATGGCCACCGACGAGACAAGCTCGAATTCGGGGAGAATGTCGTCGTCGGCCTTGTTCTTGCCAGACGTCATGCGCAAGAGCGCTTGCTCGTGCTCGTTTTCAGCAAGCGGATGGTAAATGTTGTTGAAGGCGCAGGAAACGTGGTTGGCCTCGCTCACACGCGCAATCACACTCTTAAATCCTCCGACAGGCTCGCCCGGCGGCACGAACGGCTCGGGGCCCAGCGACATGCCAGAGTCCACCGTGCCCAGCAACGGGGTATATTCCATAATCAGGTGGATGGAGCCCTTCGGACGGATGCCGACGTGCTTGTCCTTCTTGGGCAGCAGATGGAACCACTTGTCCACAACACCGGGCTCGAGCGACGAGATCGGAACCTTCAGACGGCCAAGGAATGCCTCGTCAACAGCCATGACCTGGGCAGATCGGTTGTGGTCGTACACGGCAAAGTTCAGCATCGAGTTGGAGCGCGAGATGATAAAGTGGAATTCTTCGCCAAAGGCAGGGTTGGTGGTGCGGCGCACGACGCGCGACTTGAACGTCTCCTTTTCGCAGTCGCACACGAGGTAGGCATCGCAGTTGGAGTCGAGGGCACGCAGCTCTTTGGCTTCAACGACAAACACTTTGAGATGGGCCAAAAAGTTTTCCGGCTTGTCCTCGTGGAATGATGCGGATGCGCTGGCCGTCGAGTAGGACGCAATCTTGGACGAATAGCTGGGTGCCTCGGCAGTCTCCAGGCCAAAATGGCCCGTCAGCCGTGCTTCCAGCTTGGCGCGCAAGTCCGGGTTGAGCTCGGCAGCCATGGCCAGCAGTCGACGGCGGTCACGTTGGGCGATGGGCGAGAGATCGGCAGACGACCCTTCGTCGACAAACTGGACAGCCAATGCGCGGTCGGCAGCAGGCAGACTGGCAACGGCCTCCCGCAAAAAGTCGCCAATGTCGGTGATTGAGAGCGAGTTGACCGTCAACGAAGTGAGCTGCAGCATGGCCGTGCTCGACTCTGGTGGCTCAAAGAAGCTGCTGGCTGACGCTGACGCAGACGCAGACACGGGCGCAGACGTCGATGCGGACGCGCTCGATTCTGCCGTGACGCCAGCTGCTGCTGCTGCTGCTGCAGCGCCGCTGCCGCTGGGCACACCTCCAGCAGCCGATGCCGACCCGCGATGATGACCGGCAACCAAGGCCTGCAGGGGCGAGGTGGGGGTTGAGCCGTCGTGGCCAGTCACCAGCGGCACGCGGTTTTCGGCAAACTTGTAGTAGACATTCTGGTCGCGGAATTGACGGTGGTGACCAGTGTGCTCAAACACGCCAGCCTCCATGAGGAGCTGGCCGACTTTCCACGCCTTGCTGCGGTCGTCGGTCTTCATGTAAAACATGAGCCAGTCCACACCCTCCGAGCCGAGGAAGACGTACGCCTTGCGCCCGACGTGGTGAACCTTGCGGAAGTAGGTGGGCACGCCCTGCACGAAATCGGAAGCAATGACCTCGAGCTCTTGCGGCGTGAGATTGATGGTGACAAAGTCGGGATGGAAGCGCTCCTTCTTGTTGAAGCGAAGCATGCGCGCTTGGTTGAGCAGGCGAATGTCAATGACACCAGGCTTTTGCAGCCATGGCTCGCCGTCAATCTGGGCGGCAATTTCGTGGGTGAGGGTGAAGCGCACGTGCGAGCCCTGGGCGAGACGACGGCCGGTTGAGACCTTGGCTTGAATGCGGCCCATGTGAGAGACACCCGTGATGCCGACCACCTCGAGCAGGCCGTCGCTAAAGGTTTGGTCGACGAAGGGCGCCGCCTTCTTGCCCCAGAGATCCGTGCCAGCCATGTAGCTGGGAATGTTGAGCAGAATCACTGCCTCAATGTCTCGCTGGATGACGACGGGCTTGCCGTCCACCTCCAGCGAGACCATGTCGCACACGGGCAACGAGGAGCCGAGCATGGCCTTGGCGGCATACGTCACATACCAGAGCTTGTTCAAGTTTTTGCTCTTAAACCGCTCGGGCGACTCTTCGCGAGCGTGGTGGAACTTGAGGGCAATCTTGGCGTCCACACCGACGGAGAGGTAGTTGTTCATGACGAGCAGGTTCTTGTTGCGTTCAACGTCGTGGATGGCCACCGACCAGCGGTCCAGCAGAACAATCTCCGAGTGGACCATCTGGAAGAGCTTTTTGGACAAATAACCCATCGTCCGAGCGCCGCCTCCGGGACCCCAGCCCAGAACACGAGACAAGTCGTTGCCAGTGCCCATTGGAAGAATGGCCACTGGAGGCTGCTGCAAAGGCGCATAGTCAATCTTGTCCATTTCCGAGAGCACCCAGCCCACGGTGCCGTCGCCACCGCAGACCAGCACCTTGTGGGCAATTTCGCGGAACTGCAACAAGCCGGGGCGCGGCCCGCCCTGGCCCAAGTCCCAGATCTGGCATTCGTGCAAGCGACGCTGCAGGATGGAAATGAGCCGGCCACCCTCCTGGCCGCCAGACTTGCGGTTGACAAACACAATGACGGGCGTGCAGTCTTGCGGAAGGGTGATGGCGTACTTGTTTCCGCCGGCCGACACGGGCTCGACGGCGCGCACAGCCGAGTTCGGGATGATGATGGGGTTGAATTCCTTCTCGTCAACCACCATGCTCGAGTCCTCCTCGAGATCGGCAGCAGCTGCAGCCGCCGCCGCGCCGTGCTCCTCTTCTGGGAGCGGACGCGCGACGCCCGACTCGGATCGGGAGCAAATCGACGTGACTCGCCCTTCGCAGTTCTTGTGGCAGCGAAGCTTGCAGCTCTCGCACACCAGCATGGCGCCAGTCCAGATGCGCGTGCGGCAGACGTCGCACACCACGGGTTTGCTCTTGTCCTTTCGCACAAAGGTGTGCTCCAGCTTGATTTCGAGGAATTCAAAGTCGGCGTCGTCGTTCTTGTAGCGGTACAGGGTGCGGTCGTCGTAAAAGCGCGAGTCCTTGCTCTGCACCCGCTTGCCCGACTTGTCCAGCTGCTCGATAATGCCCTGGTCAATCATGGACTGGCCGACAGCCAAAGCGCGGCGGCGAGTGATGAGCACGGTGCGGACGAGCCAGTCAATCACCTGTTGGCCAGTGAAGACGCTGCTGGCGGGTGCAATCGCGCTGTCCTTGCCGTCGTCCGCACGGAAGCCACGGCGGAAGCGGTCCACCAAGCCCGACAGAATCTCGGGGTTGTTCAAAAAGCTGGAAAAGTTGACGCTCTGGAGCCCCGGCTCGCGTTCGAGACGCGAACTGCTCGAGTTGGAGTCGGCGAGCTGGGCCGGCGGAATCGTGTCTGTCGAGCTCGCCAAGGAGACCTCCTCCTCCTCGTACTCGTCGTCAGACTCCTCGTCCTCTTCTTCGTCGTCAAGGACCCTCTCGGCGTCGGCGAGACCAGGCACGCCTCCGGCGCCGAGCAGACCGCCAGCGCGAGCGTGTTCGATGGACTCGAGGCTGCTCTCGTCGAGATCGAGGCCAAAATCAAACGACAAGTCGCTATTGGCGCCTCCTTGGCCGCCCTCGAGCAGGCCACGAACGACCTCGCCAGCCGACGGGGGTTGCACGGTCGACCTGTCCGCTGGACCTGTGAGTTTGACTCTGTTGGAGTTGGAATCAACAAACGTGAGATATTCAAAATGTGCGACGTTGCTTTCGCATTCGCAGTTTGCCGATTTTCGATAAATCTGAGAAAACAAGCGAGCGAGCGTGGGAAAACACACGGCGGTCCTCCTTTTGGGTTCCCCAGCCACTCTATCATCGAGAACGGCGCTTCCGAGCAAACGAGTCCGATTCACTCTTTGTGTTGAGAAGCGGTTGCTTTTGTTGTATGAAAGTTCGACGACTTGAACGAAAAGAACGATGAACGATGACAAGAAAAAAAAAAGCGGGGGGAAAAAAAAATAAAAAATAAAAAATAAAAAATAAAAAAATAAAAACTAAAAATTTAAAACTCTCATAAAAAGCCGTACAAAAGTGAAAATCTGTGGACAGTTGAGTGTGTGTGGCTGACAGTCCGGTCTGTCTGCTCGACCTTCTCACTGACGTACATCTTCCTTTCTTCTTCCTGATAGTCCTGTTCCCCCTCATCAGAGTCTTGCGTTCGAGTGGACAGACTGAACGTTCAACGGAACTCTTTCTTTTTTTTTCTTTTTTTTTTTGGTTTTTTTGGTTTTTTGGTCTTTGTGCGAACGGGTCTTTTTGTGGAACGTACTCGTCGAGCCGCGCTGAGACTTCGCTGCCGAGTGCATTGACAGCACCGAGGTTGGCAGCCACGGCGGCCTGCTTGAGATCGAGCTGCTCGCGGAGATGCTGGTTCTCGAGCTGCAGGCGTCGAAGCGTCTCTTCAATCAGCGCGTCGTGGTCTTGCGACATGTGCGGGTGCAGCGTGCCACTGCCACTGCTGGTGGTGGCTGCTGCTGCTGCTGCTTGACCAGACGGCGACGACATGGGTTGCAGGTCAGGGGGGGGAGAGGAACAACGGCGAGAAGAGCGAGAACGAAGCAGAGCAATGGGAAAAAAAGATACAAAATAAAAAAAATAACGAATTAAAAAAACAAAAAAAGACTGGATTTTGGAAAAGCAGAGAGATTTGCTCAGAAGCTGCTCTGGATTTATCCATCATCATCATGAGCAAAACATGCACGGATTGATCTGCAACAATAAAAGCTAAAAATAAGAATTTTGTGTATTACGGTCAGCAAAAACAAAAGAAACAAAAAAACAAAAGCAACGGGATCGAGAAAACGTGCTGAATCGCTGAGAGCACGAAAGAGATCAGCACAGAAACACACCGCAAAAATAGAAAAAAGAAAAACACCGCGAGCGAGGACCTGCTGGCACGAAAAATCAAAAGAACGGTGGATTGAGTTGGTTGCTGGGTTTTGTTGGATTTTTTTTTTTCGTTCGCTGGGCCAAAATTGTTGTACTAGATCTTCTACTCATCGTCCTCCTCGTCGTCGTCCGATTCGGGCATCACCATGTCGTCGTCGCCAGCGTTCAGCATGGCAAAGCTGTTGGAAACCTTGGCGGGCTTGGGCGGTGCGGTGGCCTGCTGTTGCAAGAGCTGAGTGCGGGTGAGGCGAGGGCCCTGCTGGTTCTTGTCGGCAAGCTGCTGGGCGCGGGCGTTCTTGCGCTGCTCGCGAATGACTTGGCGAGGGGCAACGCCGGCAAGACCGGGCTGGAGCTCGCCGGAGACGGCCGCAGCGGGGTCGACTGGGGTGGCGAGGAGGCCTGGGGCAGCGCCAATCAGGCCTGGAGCGGCACCAATCAGGCCGGGCGCCGCGGTCGGGTCGATAGCCATGGGCACTGCGCCTTGGTGGGCAAGCGGCAAAAGACCGGCTTGGTTGTTGCGGTTTTGCATGTGTGGCGGCCGGTAGACGCCCGAGGCCGACTGGGTGGAGGACGCCGAGCCGTGCGACTGCTGCGAGCCGTGCGGCGACTGGCGCGGCAAGCCGCCAGCGCCAGTGACCATGCCAGTGTGGGAGGACGACTGGACGTGCGCCTGGATCCACGCCTGCGATGCGGGGGTGACGAGCAGGGGCTGGGGGACCCACTCGGACCACTTTTCGGCAACAATGCGACCGAGGGTTGTGGCGAGAAGGCCGCTAAAGAGACCAGCCTGGCCGTAGTCGGAGGCGTTGGCAACGGCAGTCTTGATGGCCTTGTCAACGGCAGCGGCGTCGTCAGAGCCCGCAAATTCGGCAAGAGTCTGGGTGCCGACGGCCTGGGTTTGCAAAAAGTAGGCAAAGGCGTGGCCGTCAAACAGGCGGCTAGGAGTGGGGAACGGGGTGGACGAGTACAAGAGCTCGTGCAAGACCATGATAGAGTAGAGGGTGGTCTGCCAGAGGCCACCGACGCGAGCAGTGAGGCGGGTCATCTGCGGGGGCAGGGACGAGGCGGCATGACCAGTGACCTGGGGCCACTCGTTGCGACGGGCGAGGCACTCGACAAGGGGGACGGCAACGCTGATGGGGAGCTGGGCGCGCTTAATCACAAACGACAGGGCCATGGCGATGATTTGCCAGTCTGCAGGGAGCTGGGCAATCGAGGGGTGCGCCTCGGTCGCCTCGAGCAGGATGGCGAGCTTGGCGTCGTTGCTGAGCTTGGCAATCTCGGCCTGCGAGGGCACGGCCAGCTTGTCGTTGATGGAGAAAATGGGCGCAACGTCGGCACGAGCAAACTCGGCGCCAACACGCTTGTACTCGACCAACGAGTGGTTGTTAGAGGTGAACGAGGCCTGCGCCTGCTTGCCGCCGGCCAGAATGCCGAACGCGACTTGTCGGATGGACTGCGACAGGGCCCACGAGCTCTCGGCGGAATTAGTGTCCTCCAAGAGCGAGTGGCACCAGAAGAATCCATTAGAAATAACCTGCATCGTCGAGCAGGACATGTAGCTCGTGCGGAAGCGCTCGATAACCTCGGGGGACAGCGGGTAGGAAAGCGCGGGGTTGACCTTGAGCGTGGTGGTCTGGCCGACCGGGGCCGCTTGCGGGCGGTATTGGGCGACCGACTGCTGGAGAAGCTCACGCGTGTAGATGAGGGCCTCTGCGTGTGTGCGTGCCGCGAACGGGTTGGGCGAAGCGGGCTGCGGCGGGACTGGGGCAGGCGCGGTGGGGTCGGCGTTGGGCATGGCGGGGTGGGCGACGCCGTAAACGAGGTCGCAAATGTCCTTGGCGGCAACAGCCAGGGCGAGCTCCTCGTCGGCCTTGAATTGGCCGAGGTAGGCACCGACAGCCTGGATGACGGCGTGCTGGCGCATGCCTGCGCCGCGCTGCGGGAAGGCGCGGAGCAGGTAGTTGTGGAAGGGGCGCAGGATTTCGCGGTCCATGTAGTCGTTGCCAGCAAGCGACGCAAAGAGCGGGAGGAGCGTGTGGTGCATCTTGAGCGCCTTGGAGAACTCGCTGGACTTGAAGAGCTCGAGCACGATGCGATCCGCCTGGATGCTGATGGACGGCAGCGGGCAGTAGCCGCACGGCACGTCGCCAATCAAAAAGTCAGAGTCGTTCGAGAGCGCAATGGCGTTGTTGCGCTTGGCCATGAAGGCGACGACATCGTCGGCCTCGTTGTCGCAGTAGCGCATGTCCACCTTGAGCTCGTGCATGACGTCCGTGAAGGCGCGCACAATCATGGGCGGCAGGACCTGCTTGTCGAGCGTCTGGGAGCGAATGACGTTGCTCGCGGCCGGCGCGCCCGACGCGTTGCCGTGATGATCGTCCTCTGAGCCATCGTGCGAGGTCGCAGCGGAGGCTTGGTGAGCAGCAGCAGCAGCAGCAGCGTTCGACGACGCAGCAGCAGCCGCGTCCGAGTCTTGGCAGACGAGCTGGAGCGCAGCAGCCACGCGCTCAATCTTCTGCTGCTCGCGGGCGACAACCGTGTCGAGCTTCATGGCAGGGGTGGTGCCGTCCATGTAGACGTGGAGCATGCAGTTGGCCTTGCGGAAGCTCTCGACAAAGTGCACGACGCTCTCGCGGAACTTGGAGTAGTCGCCGCCGTACGTCCACTCGATCTGGCGGTGCAGAAAGTAGACGACTGCAAAGCCGTCCACAGAGACGTGGCGCATGCCCGCAGCAGCAGCATTGGCAGCAGCAGGTGCCTTGTTGGCGTTGCCGGCAGCAGCAGCACCAGCAGCAGCAGCCGGTTGCGTGGCGCCACGCGATGGCTGGACAAAGTGCAGCTGGACAGTCTCCCACAGCTCCTTGTGAGCAGCCACGTACGTAGTCAGACCGAAGACGCCCATTGTGAGTTCGCTTGTTTGCTGGCGGGGTTTGTTGGGAAGAAGTTGGAAGGGAAGAAAAAAAAAAAAACAATGAGCTCGGTTTCGATTAGGAATTACTAGGGAGTCGAACTCGGCGGGTGAGTGAGGATCCTATGATTGTGTGTTTTAAGCGCAACAAAAACTGCATGGTTTTTCTATCGTCCACGTGGATTTTGGATTTTTATTTATTTTTATTTTATTGATTTTTTTTTTTAATACATTGGATTTCCATTGCGTAACGAACGAGAGACAAGGAAACGTAGGCTTACCGATGGTGTATTAGTGAGTGGAGAGTAATAGGAAAACGAATCGAGAGTATTTCCAAGCAGATCAGAACGCCAGTCAACAGACAAGCGACCAGATCAGAAGAGAGAGAATAGGAACAACAATTCAGGTCAAGTTGGACATTTATTTCGCTCTTGTCTGAGAATTGTCGAGTTGTTTTTCCGATTTTGCGCTGTTTCAGAGCTCAAACACTGGCGTTTTCGGTTTCTCGCTCTTTCTCGGTCTGTCCGCGCAGACGGAAATCTGTCAAGCTGAATACTGCTGTACACGAAGTACAGCGTCGACTATTTGAACGAGCGGTTGCTCAGGAACCTGGCTGGGAAGGCTGGACATTGCAACTGAGAGCGGGTTTTCGTTCTGCGCTCTCTCTCTCTCTCTCTCCATCTCTCTCTCTCTCGCGAGGCTTTCGGATTGAATGGGGAAACATCGCAATACATCACAGGAGCTTTGAAAGTAGTTCTTTCGCGATGCGGGAGGACTCTGACACGGTGAGGAGTGCTTGATGCGGCTGTTGGAAATTCACCATCTCTTGTCAATCTTGTCAATAGTTTCTCAGCAATTCGAAATTCCCCCCCCACACCTTCTATTGTCTGAGAATTTCAAGAATTATTCTCACTCTCAGTTTTATTTTTTTTTCTTCCATTTGCGAAATGAGTGAGGCAACATTGGACGACATCTTTGCACGCCGTGACAAGAGCAAGAACAAGCGGAGAGCGGTCGGCGCCACTGCGACTGCAGCAGGCCCCGCCGGCGCGTCCCAGCAACAGCCAGCAACAGCAGCAGCAGCTCCCACAGCATCATCAACACAAGCATCAGTATCCACATCCACAGCAGCAGCAGCATCAGCATCATCATCACAACAGACTTCCGCACAGCCAGCCAGCCCAATAGCGCAGGAGCTCCTCCCCACCGCCACCCTGTGCGTTTCGACCTTCATCCCCCCCCCCTTTGCATTGTCCTTCTCCTCCTTCTTCTTCATCATCCCCTTCCATCTCCCTCCATCCCGGTCTGGCCCAACGCAAGACGCTCTGTTTCCCAGATCTCTTTTTTTTTTTTTTTTTTTTTTTCTCTTTCTCCGTCCTGTCGCTTCGCTGCTCTTTCTTCGTTCCGTCCGCTCTTGCACCAGTCACTCTTCAACTCTGCTTCTCAATGGGTTGTTGTGACGTGTCGATCGTCGTCGCGTTTCATTCGAGCATCTTTTTGTTTGACTGTTTGACTGTTTGTTTGCCAATGGAACGAGAAGCAAAAGCCTCGTGTAGTTTTTTTTTTTTTTTTCTATTGGATTTGCATTGGATTGACTTTTTCTCTTGTTGAGCTTTCTCTTGTTGAGCTTTTCTATTGTCGAGCTTTTCGATGGAGACGAAACTGTTCACATTGCTTGAGGGCTGCGATTGCAATACATCCGACACTTTTCGACCACTTTCTGCGAATGATTGCGAAATGCTCACATTGCATTCGAAATGATTTTGGTAGGCTCAGCGACAGTGACTGGTTGGACCCCACTCGCGACGCCAAGCCACGCCTGGCTGTTGCTGGCATCCGTGTCAAGACATTCAATGCGTGAGTTTCGTCGTTGGAGGTTGTTTTTGAGTGAGCGCCATTTGCTCAAGCTCCGTTTGTGCTCCTCTTGTTTCAACCCCATGCAGCGATCCATTCGCCACTACGCCTTCCCCGGCACCCGAAACTCCCGAGTTGGATGACTCTGTCTTGTCCTCCAAGGAGGAGAGCAAGCCTGCACAGGCCGGTAGGTTGACAATCGAGCATTTTGGAAACCTTGTCGGAAAAAGTATTCGCACTGATACTCATGCACAATTCCGCTACTACTCTTCTCTGACATCATTAGCTGATGCCGTCTGGGCGAGCGCAAAGCCTGCGCAGGCTGGTAAGACCACTTGTGCTTTGCTTTATTTGTGTTTTTGTGTTTGTTTGTTTTTTTTTTTTTTGTTTTTTTTTTTTTTTGTCTAACTTTTCTCTGCCGCTGCTCGTTTTTTCTGATGCAGCTGACTCGAAGATTTCCACTTGGGCCTTCCCTTCTCTTGCATCCACTGGTCATGCTCAACAAAAGTGAGTTCCGGATTCTGTGTCAGGTCGGAATGCGTTTTTGTCCAAACCAGTTGCTCACTCTTGGCTCGCCTCTTCGTTTGACAGTATGCCCGGCTACAAGGGCTTTGAGCAGGTTGCTGCCGGCAAGGGCTACCGCGGTGACATTTCTGGCACTGCCAAGAAGGAGGAGCTCAAGGTTGTCAACAAATTCTCTGCCCTCGGCCATTAAGAATTTTTGTTTTTGTACACACACGCAAGCGAGTGTGGAAATCGCTCTAGCGCCGGTGCAGTTTCTATCGGTATCGCTATGTCCGTGCTAAGAAGCTCTCGTTTCGATCGTTCTTTGCTTCCAAAATGCGTGCTGTACACCTGGTGTTCCCCTCTTTCCCTCCCAATTTTTTTGCCAATGATCAACGTCCCCCTTTTGGTTTGTTTTGTTCCATTTCGTGTGTGCTTGTCCTTCTGTCCTTGTTGTTTCAAAAAAAAAAAACGAACGATTTTCCCAACTTTGTTGTTTTCCTTCCATTGTTCACCACTTTGTATTGCTGCTCTCTTAGTTCTTTTATGACTTTTTGCTGATTCGACCTTCGCTCTTTCCTCTTTTTTGTTCTTTTCTTTTTTTTTTTTTTTCTCTTCGACACAATGTCGACTTCTTCTTCAATGGTAAAACGCAATGCACACAACAACAATAATCGACCCAGCCAACATCATTGACCTTTTTTTTTTTTTTTTTTTTTTTTCCTTTTGCCTCTGATCCTTCCATCGCTGATCTTCCATCGCCCTCCTTCCCAGCCCTCCTCCTCGTCTCTCTCTCTCTCTTTCATACCTTCCCCCTTTCCTTCCTCTTCGCCCGTCGTCTTGATTTGTCGCTCGTTCGTTTTTGTGTCTCAAACGATCAGATCTCGTTTTTTTTTTCTTTCTTTCTTTCTTTCTTCTCGTTTGTTCAAGTGACTCACTTTGGACTGTGCATCTGCGTTGCGCTGTAATAATGATGATCATTGTCATCACTCTTGTTGCTTGATTCGACAATCGGATGAACAGACGGCAGCTGCAAAGCCAGCAGCGAAACGCAACGTGCAGCGACGACGCAGGCAGCATGCAGACGACGCCAATGCTACTGCTGCTGGTACTACTGGTACTGGAGCGCAGCAGACCTCAAGCAAGAACAACAAGAAGAGGACGCTGGCAAACGATGACGAAGACGAAGACGAAGACGACGACAACGACGACGAAGAGGACGAGAACGACGAGGAGGAAGAGCCAAAGCAACAAGGACAAGAGCAGGACAGCGTTGGCGACTGGGCAAACAGCCGCGATGACAATGACAACGAAGATGATGGCGCAGCATCGGACAGCAAGGACAAGAGCGGAAGTGAGCATGGGGTGGACGACGGGGCGGCCCGGCAGTCCTCGCGTGCAGATCGCCTCGCCAAAATGGATTCGACTTGGGCGCACGACATGTTTGATCGACAGGGCACGAGCGGTGGCAGTGGTGCACGGTCATCCGCAGGAGCAGGAGCAGGAGCAGGAGCAGGAGCGAACGGTCGACGAAGCAACAGAGGCGAGCCGCGTCCACCCCGCGCTGCCGCAGCACCAGCATCAACGACTGAAGCATCAACTACTGAAGCAACGCCATCAGCCAGGTCCAACGGAAACCGTCAGCGCGCGTCAAAGCCTCGCCAACCATCGGAGGGCCGACGACAACAGCCAGCATCAACCGCTACTCCCAGCCCTTCACCAGCAGCGGCGTCCAACAACAGCAACAACAAGGACGCAAATGAGTCGCCCGCGTCAAACCCTACCCCTACTACGCCCTCGACAGATGCGGGAGAGGTCGTGGTAGAAGCGCGCTTGCGTGCGCCCTTGCAAAAGCCCGTGCGTGAAGGTCGACAGGCATACCAACCACCTTCGCGCCGCGGCTTGACCCCAGAAGAGCTGCAGGCGCGTCACGCCCAACAGACTGCGGCGGGCGCCATCCCTACTGCAGCATCGTCAGAAGTGACCGAGCCCTCGAAAGCGGATGCAGCTGGTGCTGGTGCTGGTGGGGAAACGCAATCCAAGTCGCAACCGCGCTCCAAATCAGACAAGCCTCGCGGCAACCGTCAAGTACCAGCTCCCTCATCAGTTGCCGCCTCTGCAGCTCCCTCGACGAATGCTGCTGCCACCACCACCGCCACCGCAAAGCCTCGACAACAGCCGCACAAGCAACAGCAGGCTGCTTCTTCAACGGCGGCCGCCAAGCGAGGAGACCAATCTTCGTCAAACGCTCGTGGCAAAGCTTCGTCAAAGGTGTTGACCCCGACTGCTGCTCCATTCGTCCCGTCTACCGTCATCTCGCACCAGCACGATACATACTCCTCCCCTAGCTCGACCGCTGCTCTGCCTTCCAGCAAGGACGCTCCGGCCAGCGATGTTCGCTCAGTCCCTGCACCGCGTGCCAAGGCGACGCCAACTGTGCCCCAGGGTCAGCAACATACAGCACCTTTCGCTCAGCCTCCACAAGGACAGTCGCCGCAGCAGCAAGCGCAGCATCAGCAAACACAGCAACATCCCCAGCTGCTACCACAAATGCTGCCTTCGCCCCAGCTGCTTCCCAACGGCCAGCTGCCCATTCCCCAGCTCCAGTCACTTCTGCCCATGACGCCGGAAGACATCCAGCGTCAGTTTGAACGGATTGCGCTTGGCGGCGCTGGTGCAGCCCCCGGTCGTGGCGGCCCTTCGCAGTCGTTCGTCCCCGAACCATTCTACCCGTTCGTCCCGCCATTCTCGCACTATCCAGTCATGTACCAGCCAATGATCGACCAGTATGGCCAGGTGATGGGCGCTCCCCCGAACGCCATCCCGACCTCGCCGCAGATTGCGGGCGGCTCGCCAGTTCGCCATCGCGGTGGTGTTGGCTCGCCCGTGCATCAACAAGCGCCATTCCTTGGCGGAGGCGCAGGTCCTGTCGGAAGTGGATTTGATGCCAACCCCGGCTCGTACGTCTACTACCCAGACCCGTATTACCAAATGATGATGGACCACCAGCAGCCCCGAGCGCAGTCGCCCCAACATCGTTTCGTTCCGCCGCCCATGGCTGCCGCGCGCGGATCTGCAGCCCTCAAAATTCAACCACCCACCGAGCAACACCTAGCTCGCAGTCGCTCACAGCCCTCTTCACAGCCGCCAACGTCACAATAACGCACTGAAACATCGGAGGATTGCTTTTTTTTTTTTTTGGTTGTTTCGTTTCCTCTTCTCCCTCGCTACCAGTATGACGTGTTCCTGAGCTGTTTCGGTTTCATTCGTTCAGTTGGCATCCGTGTGGCATCCGTGTGAAGAAGCGTGAATGTTGCGGATTGTGTTTTGTGAAAAAGCCATCGCTGTTGTGGGTCAACTCAGAGTGTTTAAAAAATCGTTTATCGTGGCCACGTAGAGTCTCACAAAATCAACCAAAAAAACAGCATGGGTCAAATGATCAGATGGATTTGATAATTCAACGAGGGAATAAGTTAGAACGAGTGTGCATAGCGAAAAAAAAGTCGTGAACGTCAATCGTCCCACGCAGCGGCTCGAGACGTGTCCGGCACAAGATGCTGACGGCAAGTGGGACATTGCATTTTGACGTCCATCCACTGTGTATGTCGAGGTCAAAGAGAGCAAAGAGAACAAGCAAAAGTCTCGGGTCAACAACCAAGAGCAACAACAAAAACCCGAAACCAGACCAGAAGAGTTGACCCACCCGTTGCAAACAGTCGGTATGGAAGATGTGCGAACACGGAGTAATCATGTAGCCACGGCGCGTGTAGGGAATTTCGTTCATGCAGACCACGCAATCGGTGCGAGCCGTTTCGGGATCGTACCCCGTGAGAGACGTGAAGACAACTTTTCGGTAGTAGTCATACTCTTTGGGTAGAAACTGGATGTGGAGATGAATCACAAAGTGAGCTTCTTCAAGCAATTCAAAAAACAATTCAAAGCACTTGCGACATACCAGGGCAGGAATGAAAAACCGCGATCCGAGCATGTCTTGAAGCAAGAGCACGACCACTTGAAGAGCCACCCAGCCAACGAGCATGGCAGCGTAAGGAACATCAGGAGCGTTTACCACGTTAAACGGGCAGGCAAAAAAATCTGACGAGGCCAAACCAAAAAAAAAAAAATGAGCATCAGAAAGTCAAAACCGAACAAAGACATGCCAAAACTGCTCGAGTCTCAAACTTACACAAAGGTGCGATGAGCCGAGTGCATGAGATGCCAATCGTGTACTTGCTGCAAAGGTGCACACATAAAGCGATCACGAAAATTGAGCAACAAGCCAACTGGTGCATCACATCAAACACGCTACAAAAAGCCTTACTGATTCAGGCCGCCGTTCGTGCCGCGAACAGAGTTGTGCGCAATTTGAGGCACCCAGAACGAGAAGGCCACGAAAAGGAGGAGCTTGATGTGGCTCAACCAAGAATAGCCCACAAATATGCCAATCAGCAATGCCAGATCTGATTCCCAAGTCAGACATTGGAAAGTGAGCAGCCAGCAGATTCGCAGAGGACACAAACACCTTCACAAGACGAATCGTATGCATACACATGCGCGTGTAAAACATGGACACCTCTCTTCGAATTGTTTCGATCGAATTGTCGGCGTTCGGATCGAGCTCGCGTCGCGAGCGCCAGAGCAGAATTAAATAGCGGGTCTCAAACAACGAGAATACGATGAATTTGACAAGGGCGGCGACTCCAAGCACTGGCAACAGTTGTCCTGTGAAGAAGGGGGGAAATTCAGCATGAATGCAGTCGCCCCGCCCCCTCAATTAGAATCGCGTCAAGCCTCCGCCAAATTCACCGAAATGCAAAAACATAACACCTCTTACGAAAGAGCGCGCCGACCGTCAAATAGGCCAGAATCATGTAATTGTCCATGATGGTTTGGGCGCCGATGGTCAGCAGCGACACTTTGGCAGCTGCTGAAGGAGTGTGCGACCGCTTGATTTGCTGCGTGATAAAGTAAATCTCCAGCAAGGTGAGAAGCACGAGCACGGTAAGGTAGTTGGTGGCTTGGTCGAGATAGAACTGAACGTGGATGGTCTCGGCGACCGCGTCAATAACACGCCGTTGAAATGGCGCCCGCGCAACCAAATGCCCTTCCAATCGAATGAATGGAGCATTCAGGTCGTCCAAATCGTGCGTGAGCTCCAAGCGAGCCAGGTCGTTGTCCTTGATGATGTCGTCTTTCACCAAGACCTCCGTCCGGAACTTGTCGTCGCCGTCATTGTCTGCTGCTTGAGCGAGGCGCCGGCTGCCAGCGCGTCGAGGTTGCTCCTCATCAAGTACGCCATTGTTATCCGAATCCAGCGCTGCACTGCCCGCTTTTACAAGCCCGCCAGACATTTGCTTGGATGGACGGCTTGATGCCTCGAGATTCGGGCTGGCCATTGGCAGCAGCGAATCAGTGGGCCCAACGGAAAAGTTTGTCTCGTTGGCCGTCAAGGCGAAATAGGCACGGAAGGTGCATGCCGCACTCTCCGTGGCAGCCTTCTTGGAATCTGGCTCATCGCTCACAGACGGCGGAGACGTGGCCGTAGCAGGCTCGCGGATGATGCTCGCAGCTCGAGCTTGCGCAACAATCTCCAGCATGGCACGGTGGACGTGCCGCTCGAGCCGAGGAAACGACGCCACAAGCGGAGATGCTCCAGTCTCAGATTCGGGCAAGGATAGCATCAGCAGAGCCGACACAATCATGCTTTTCAGCTCCACAACGTCATCCAACGTGAACATGAACTCTGGCGAGCCGAGCAGCGCGACGAGCAGCTGGTGGTGTGGGAGATGCACACCAAAGAGCGAGTACCGCGCGCCAGCGTCGGTGAGATACATGCCATCTCGCAAGCGTGCGGAGCCAATCACAACGTGCATGTCAGGCGTGGAAGTGGCGTACGTGTGCAAATGAAACAGCATCGCGCCCGAGTACCCTGCAAACCCCAGCACCTGTCGGGAGGATGCCAAGAGGGGCATTTGCCACTGTCCCTTAAACAGTCCCGTCACATTCACCGGCGGAGGCCTCACGTGCTCGAGCATCTCGACAGTCAAGTTTGTCTACAAGAGTGACCAATGGTAAGTCAAAATTCTCCATCACGTCCGCCCCAACATGCGCCATTGCTGGAACATAGCATTCTACGACGTACTTTTCGCAGCCGTGGGAGCAAGCGAGTCAAGACATCCGCGTCGCTTGCAGCTTGTACGTCGGCGAGGCTGAGCTCGTTCGATGCCAATGGCTCGTCCGTCGTCCGATTCAACGAGCCCGCCAGCGGAGCCGTCGTCTCTGGATTGATCTTGTCTTGTACACTTGCATTGCGTGACGCATGATCAGCACCATTGCTGGGCTGCGACTTGGTCGCGTCATCAAGAACTGTCAAAGCGAGCTCGAGTCCGACCGACGTCCGAGCAACGCGGTCCACGGCGGCCTGTGCGTCTGCAGACTGCTGCTTATTGATCACAGAGCCATCCGGCGATGCGGCGCGGCAGCCCACAGCGAGCAGCAGGACGACGACTGCAGCAAACAACCAGCCCAGCGCAGCGATCGCACCAAAGCGAGCGGCACAGCGTCGCCGCCGTCGCATCAGAGCAAATCTAAGGAAGAGGAGGAGGACGAGGAGCTGATTGCCCGCCTGCTCTGCCGAGGGGGTGGGGTGGGGTTTGTGAGGGGTGCGGTTGGAGGGTTGGGAAAGGTCGGCACTGATCTGCTGAGATAGAAGGGACTGAGTTGCTCAGAAACATGAGATGGCATAGAATTGTTTTTAATAGAACTACCATTGTTCACTGTGGCAAGCCAATAATCAATCATCACCATCACCATCATCATGCATAGCATAGAAATAAGAAAACACACAACATTCAACTTCTATCAAACATCATCAACCCGGAAAAGCAGCAGCAATCCGATAAACAGCTTCAACTCAACAACGAAAAGCAAGGGGAGGACCGCTCCTCTACTTTTTGGATGCGCGGGTTCGCGTGCGGCCGGCGATCGGCGACAAGAGACGCTCAATCGGAGCGGCAGCAACGGTGGCGTGCAGACGCATGTTGCTGGGCGAGTCCGCCATGCCGGAGGTGCCATTGAGCAGCTTGGAGGTTGTGGCAGGACGCGCCATCAGCTTGCGAGTGCCAGCCTTGGTTGGCTTTGCCGCAACATCCGTCTTGGCAGCAGCAGCAGCAGCACCAGCGGCAGTTTGTGCGGCCTCTTCAGCCACTTCCATTGCAGCCTGGTAGTTGCGCGTCGCAAACACCTTCTTCATGATTGGCGAGTTGCGCAATGCCGCGTACACTCGACCTGAGGCAGACCCTGGATTGCCGGGAGACGAGGGAACAGCAGCCTCGGGCAGCTTGAGCGACCGCTGCGTTGGCTTTCGACCAACAAGACCGGGGGTTTCTGCAGGCGATGCAGTTGCCGACGCGGACTGCTGCAAGGGCGACAAGGGCGATCGAACGTTGAGCGCGCTGGCAGCTGCAGATTTGGACGTCTTGTCCATGGCGCAATAGTACGAATTGTTGCGCTGCGAGCTGCGCGATGCCGAGCCAGGCTCGTCGTCCAAGTTGCCCATGTCACTGATGCGACGCGGCGGAGACTTTTCTGCGGCCTCAATGATGGCATCAGCAACGACAGGAGTGTCTCCACCCGAGGTCGAAGCTGCAGAAGAAGCCGGTGCCACACTGCTGCGTCGCTTCTTTCGGCCACCTTCAACAGGCGTCACACCAGCCGAAGGAGCTTGTTCGTCAGCTCCACCTGTCTCGCCAGACCTGCGTTTCGCGGAGGTTCGCTTGGGTGCAGCAGCCACAGAAGAAGTATCAGCAACAGCAGCAGCAGAAGCAGCGGCCGCCTTCCCACGGCGCTTTGAAGCAGCAGCAGCAGCCATCGCATTCGCTGCGGCCGCTTCAGCAGCGGTCAGCGGCACTGTGTTTTTGGCAATCTGCTCGCGCTCGAGTTCTCGGAGCGAGGCATCAGCAAGGTGCTCCAGCTCATCCACAGCAGCGCGTGCGGAAGAAAAGTCGCTGGGTCGCACCGCCTTGAATGGGCTGGCAGTTGTGGTTGTTGTTGTTGCTGCTGCTGCTGCTGGGGCACTGCTGGATGCAGCATTGTGTTCTTGCAACTGAGCACGCAGCAGAGTCACTTCCTCGGCAAGGGAAGCCAGCTGGGCCTCGATCGCACGAGCAACAGCGTCGGTCACTTGCTGTGAAACACCGTTGAGGGTAATGTGCACCACGGCGGAAGCAGCTGTTGACTTGAACTTTTGGAGCTCGGCATCCATCGCTTGCTGCTCCTGAGCCATGGTTTGCAGCTCCTGAATGGCCTGTTCCAAGTCTGAAACCATGCTTTTCGCTTTGGCCTCTGCAGCCGCGGCTCTGGTCTCGGCAGCGGTTGTCTTGGACCCGGCTTGAGCCTGTGCTTGCAGGGCCTCGGCGCGCGCCGCTGCAAGCTCTGCAGTCAAGGCCTCGACTTCGGCCACTCGGGCAGTCAGCTCGGCCGAAAGCTTGGCTTTCAGGGACAACAGCTCCTCGGACTCGTCGGCCTTCTCGCGCAGCGCATCCATCGTTTCTTCAGCGCTGCGCAGCTTGGCAGACAAGCGGTGGTTTGTATCGGCGTGGCCCTGGACGGACTCTTGCAGCTCTTGGATTTTGACTTGCTGCGACTCGAGGGTGCAGCGCAGCGTGGCAAGCGACATGCGACGGCCCTCGTCATCCACAATATCCAGCAGCTCGGCCGAGGAAGCGGCGGGCAACACCTGGGCTGCAGGCTGCTGGGACTCGGCTTGACTCGAGGAGCTCGCGAGCGACTTGCGGCCTACCGCGTTGGGCACGAGTGACAAGCGGCCCAGCGACGGACGAGAGCCATCGATATCCACAATGGACAGTCGAGTCTGACGGCGAACGAGCTGCGAACGACGCTCTTCGATGATGCGCGTGTAAATGGCGACAGTGTCGTCCAGCCTGTCGTTCATGCGGTCGTTTTCCTCGGTGAGAATGGCCTTGAGCGACTCTTCCCATTCAGCCTGCTGCTCCATCATTTCCTGGGCCACCTCGGCGCGCAGCTGTGCCTCCATGGCAATGAATCGCTCGTCTGCCTCTCGCTTTTCGCGAAGCAAGTCCTGAATGAAGCCGCGCAGACGCTCGACCTCAGCCGCATCGCTGGCCGACGCCTCGACAAGCCGCTTGACGGCCTTATCGTCCACCAATGAGGTCAAGCCCGTGTCAATCTTTGGCAGAATGTTCTTGAACGTGGTGACCTCTTGCGCGGTCGCCGAAAACCCAAGCACATGGGACGTTTCGTCGCAGTCCGACACGCTGGGGTTGATGTTGACAATCATTCCCACATGGCAGGAGACCGAGTTCTCAGCCAAAAAGTTGTGAAGAATGTGGGTCAGCTTGCTCTCGCGGTACGGGACGCGCATCAGAGTGACACGCGGTGGCGGATTGATCTTTGAAGCGGCCAGCATGCGCTGCTGGTTGATCTGCAGTGCTCGCAAGACCATGCCGAGATTCATGAGCGACGAGTTGATGGAGCATGCCTCGTTGAAACGATCACCCGTGTTTTTGGTCTTGCCAGATCGCTCCGATCCTGCCAGGTCGAAGAAGGCCATGCTGGACGCAAACGCATTCGTCAGGTCGTCCTCGCTCAGGGAGCGCACAATCTTGATGGAAAAGATGCAGTGGCTCCGACTCGAAGCGCTGTTCAACAGAGTGGAGGCCACCTGGCGAGCTCGTTGGCCAGAGCGCAACACACGGTAGGCCTCTTCGACCGAAAAGACACGGATTTCGCGCACATTCTTCATGTAGACATTCTGCTGCGCGTCGCTTCCGAGCTTGAGACTGGGCCGAGCCTTGCCTTGGACTGGAGCCTGCAGAAGGTCGTACAAGTTTTCATTGTACACCTCGACGTAGCTCACCCAGACAGAGTACCTGTAGCGGTAGTCGGTCTTGAAGGCGCGCTTTTCCTGGCCTGTGGCGCGAGCTTTGCTCTCAGCATCAGCGACAATGTGCGAAGCGCTCTTCTCGTCCATAAAGCGGCCGCTGAGGACGTGGTGACGAAACTCGTTCTCTTGGGCCTCTGCCTCGGGGCTGAGCAGCTGCACGTCGTTGAAGCACTTTGGCTTGAGGCGGGAGTTCCTCAGCTGACGGCCTGCAACGCCATTAAAGACATACTCGACAGATCGCGGCAACACACCCTCGGCATTCGGCGCGCCTTGCATGGTGTATGTTTTGCCAGCGTTCGTCACGCCGTAGCAGAGGAGGACGCAGTTGTGGCCCTGCTCGACGTCTTGGAGCAGAGGCAGCGTTGTCTTGTCAAAGGTGGCCCGCTGGTCCGTCTCTGGTCCCATCACGGCCGTGAACTTGTATTGCTGCTCTTTGGTCAGTGTGTGCGCGTTTGCCGGCGGGTGCAAGATGACTGAGGATTTGTTGACAATCTCCACGCAGCTGCCTCCAGACGAAAGCTCCACGGCGGTGAGCGGTCGAACGCGAAGATAGACGTGGATGGGCTCGCGCAGCGATCCAGCTTCGTCGTCCGCGTTGTTGTTGTTGTTGTTGTTGCCCTGGATCATGGTTGAATCGAGACTGTCGTCGGCGACAGCAGACTCGTCGCTTTGGTCGAGCGAGGAGTCGTCGTTGATGCCTGACACGTCCATTTCCATCGTCATGATGGGCTCTGGCTGCTTGGAGAGGTGGGCGTCTGAGGCGACAGCAGCGGCTGGCTTGGCAAACCTCGTCGCAGTCACTGTGCCAGGCTCCTCATCCTCGTTATCGTCGTCATCAGACGCACTGTCGTCCTCCATGTCTTCTTGATGTGTGAGGGCTGCGACGCGTGGGTCGACCTGGGAGGTGGCCATGATTGTGTCGTTCAAATCCCGCGAGCCGAGCACGCTCAGTGCCGACGGACCGCCCACCATCGGCGTCTGGAAGAGCTTGCGCTGAGCTCGATAGAACGCAGCAGCTGGGTCCTTGGCTCTCGACTTCTCGTCCTGGTCGTCCTCGTCGTCGTCGTCGTCGTCGGAAGCGTCGTCCTCACTGTCGGAGCGGTCTCCGTCGCGGCCTCCGGGCAAGACCGTCCCGTCGTTCGCATCGTCCTCGTATGTATCCATCATTGCATATGCAGGTGCAGCAGCAGCAGCAGCAGCAGCGGGAACAGCAGCAACGGGAACAGCAGGCTGAGCGGACTTGCCCGTTTGAATTTTTTGAATCGCGCCGTTACTGTTTCGCAATGCATTTTCAGCGTTTGCGTCGCGCAGCCCTCCCGCAGCACCAGCACCAGCACCAGCACCAGCAGTGGACGTGGCAGTGGTTGTGGCAGCTGGCTTGACGGGCAGAGGCGCCTGGAAGCGTGTCATGATTGAATGCAGAGAAGAGAAATCGAAAAAGGATGAAAGGGGAAAAAATGAAACAAGAAAAAAAAAAGGCGGGAAAAATTTGAAAAAAAAAAAAGTAAACTGCGCAAAAAAAAAAACAGCAAAAGCAACGAGCTGGAAATGCTTGCATTTTGGTCGAGGAAACGAACGAACGAAGAGGTCATTTGAAAAGCAACTCGCGTTTAGATGCTAGATGATTCAACTCATTGGCCAAAGCAAGAATTGGTCTCGAATTTGATTTTCAATTCGCCGAAATGAGACGCTACAAACCACATTTCATCGCACCCGACGCTCTCCGCTGTTGAGACGAATGTGTTGCAAATATGATTTTGAGTTGATTTTGTTTGTGTTCGGGGCGTGTGAAGGAACGAGGCGGGCTTCGAGCGTGTGCAAAAGCTCTCGAAACAAATTCTACGAGGTGCTCGAGCTGTTTGGACGCCTTTTTTTGCTTGCAGGCGGCGAAGGTATTCATGCTTGAACAAGGGCATGGTGTTGACAGTGAGTTAACGCGCCTGGAAATTCTGGCCACCGTACACGATAAACCAGAATCGGGTTATGAAACACAGCTCTCACCTTTGCCAATGTCACGTTGTTTTGTAGCAAGTCGGACTTTCGAGCTGTATCATCTCGCCATAATACTATATTGTTACTATATTCAACAGCAAACACGCACAAAGCGTCAAAATTATCTACACACAAATCCACGACGCGCTCAATACTCTTTGGCCGGACCGCCACGCGAAATGAACGCTGCAGCATCCTCGTCTTCGGACTGGCGCGGCTCGGGTGCTGGCCTCGGCGTGCCAAAGTGGGTCACCTCGACAGAAGGGTCGAGCCGGAGCACGTCGCCTTCCACCTCGGGCACCGTCCAGCTGACCGTTTCCGCGAGAGCCGACGACGACTCGGCGGCGGGCGATTGTTGCTTCGCCACCATCCGTGAGTCGACTTTGGGGATGACTTGAGGCTGCGGTTTTCTTGCGACAGACCCAGAGTGCAGGCTTCGTGCGGGCGGGGCGCGGAAGAGCACGGCATGGACATGGTAGGGCTGCAAAGTTATCGGATTGATCGCCACGGACGTTGCCGTCACCACTCCAATCCCGCGCACCTCCACGTTGGCAACGCGCTGGCCCTGGTGGTGCGGAGGCTGCTGCTGGGCCACATTCGAGCTCGCCGCGGCCGCGCTCGACGACGGAAGCGCCATGCGTTGAAATGCCTCAATGTCGTCGTTCATGTTGGATGTGCTGCCGGCTTTGTTGCTCAGAACGTTCATCTTTCCTGCATCCGGCAGGCCAAGCGTGGTGGTCGCGGATGCGGCAGCACTGGCGTCCGGCAACGAGGTCAATGAGACGCGACCCGCAGAAGCCAGGGAGGAAGACGAGGAGGACGCCGAAGGAGGTCCGTCGCGGTAGGACGTGGTACGAATTGAAGCAGGTTGCCGTGGTGCGTTTTGGTTTTGAGTCGTCGTCGTCGTCGTCGGAAGCGTCGCCGAGGTTGGTTCGAGTAGTGACTTGGGCTTTGCAGATGCGCTGGCAGTCGCCGCAGAAGACCGCGCGGCTGAGGCGGATTGCGTTGTCACCGGAGTAGCGGCGCGCTTAGCGGTTCCGCTCAGCACACGCTCGACAAACTTTCTGAGCATTTCGATAGCTTGGATGTGTTTACTTTTTTGTGAAAAGGAAGATTGACGATAGGGTCAAAAGCAACCAAAAAGCAAATCGTGAAATGACAAAGTGAGACACAGCTGGTCTGAGCTTTTTGAACTTTGGACAGGTTGCAGCTGTGATTGGGAGGCTTTTCATCACTAATCACATCAAGTACAGTACGTTTAATATTTTTGCTCTTGCTCGTCACATTAAAAATCTCAGATTCTCAGTCCTCCATTATCTTGTTGCCATGTCGATCAACGCGAGCGGCTATCCCGGCATGACGCCGCCGCTGCTCATCGCGGATCCATCGCCACGCGATGTCGAGCTCAGTCGACAGCTCGAGCAGACGTTGCGCGACCACGATCTGTTTGAAACCGAGGAGGAAGCTCAAACGCGGTGAGGAGAACAAGAGAGCGGCTGGCGAGCGGCTACTTTTTAGTAGCTTGGAGCTTGCTCGATTAGTCAACTTTTGCTATGTTCATCGGATCTAATCGATTTATTTTCCCTTACTGTTGCTCTCGGTCGTTCCACATTCGTCGCTCTGCCTTCCTCTTCACCGGTTCCCCCCCCCCCTCCGCCTTCCCCTTTGCTTCCGATGCTCCACAGCCACATGGTCCTTGCTCGTCTGGACAGCATCGTCAAGCAGTGGGTCATCCAAGTCCTCACAGCCAAGGTTCGGTTCCAATGCATCTACTACCCACTGTCTCCAGCCTGCCCCTCCTCGCTCTCCCGACGTCGTACACTGAATCTGACTGTGCTCTGATTGTCTTTGGCTTTGTTTGTTTGTTGGACATTTGGCGCCGCACAGAACGAGATGCCGCCCGACACGGAACCTGGCGGCAAGGTGTTCACGTTCGGATCGTATCGACTGGGCGTCCACGGACGAGGTGAGTGCTATGCATCAAACAATAGAGAATAGGCTCGGAAAGTGGGATGCCATTGATTTTTGTGTGTTTGTTTCGGAACCGAGACTTTCACAATCACAATTGTTTTTCATCAACCCTCGCCTCTGCTCTGCTCGTGGCGTCGCTGACGATCAAACTGCTGCTCACTCACTCTGTCCAGGTGCCGATATTGATACGCTGTGTATTGCACCGCGAGGTGTCACCCGCGATGACTTTTTCCAGTCGCTCGTCGAGCTGCTCCGGGAGCAGTCTGAAACCTCAGAACTGACGCCAGTCACTGGTGCCTTTACACCAATCATTACGCTCAAGTTCTCTGGCGTTGACGTAAGTTGTTGCTGGATTGCTGTTTGGTATTCGTGTTTTGACGCCCGAGAATCGCTCACTTGCATCTTCGGCCCCGTTGAAGATTGATTTGCTGTTTGCCGAGTTGCCGGGCGTGCTGTCCGTGTCGGAAAACCTGAATGTTATGGACAATGCCATTCTCCGCAACTGTGATATGGCCACCGTGCGAAGTGTGAATGGTGCGTTCAACGACCGACTCTTTTGATTTTTTCGTTTTCTGTGCTCAACCGCATGTTCTTTTTTTTTTTCTGCTTCATCAGGCTCTCGCGTTGCAAACTATATTCTCCAGCTCGTTCCCGACCGTGACAACTTCCGAATGGCACTCCGAGCAATCAAGCTGTGGGCCAACAGTAAGGGGTTTTGTTTTTCATCGAGAGCAGGGATGATCGCTTTTCTCCAATCTCACCCCCGCACTCTCGACGCTCTGACTCACGTACATCCGATAGACCGAGGTGTGTACTCTAACAAACTGGGCTTCCTTGGTGGCATCGCATGGGCCATTCTCGTCGCGCGAACTTGCCAGTTGTACCCGAAATCCTCGGCCTCAACCATCGTGGCTCGATTCTTCCGAGTCTTTCACAACTGGTAAATAAGCACAACCAAAGGAACAGTCGATTTCTTGGATGGCCGTCGGATTCTTGTTTGACGAAATGGCCACATTTGTTTGCAGGTCGTGGCCAACCCCCGTTTGGCTGAAAGCGATGGAGGAAGACCGGAGCTTAGCCCTGCCCAACTGGAACCCTGTTGTAAGCTGCTTGACACGATCTCTCTGATCCTTCCTTTGGAATCGTGTTCGATGCTGAGCCCGTTCTCCGTCCATTTGTCAGATCAACGCGAGCGATGCCCGTCATCTTATGCCCATCATCACGCCAGCCTATCCGTCAATGAATTCGACGCACAACGTGTCCATGTCTACCCTTCGTGTGATGACGGAGGAGTTTGCACGAGGTAAGCGAGTTTGAAAAAACGAAAAAAACAAGAACTTTTTTTTTTTGTGTTGGTCACCGTTTTGCTCCATTCTCATCGTTGTACCATTCCGTCTGCTCTGCTCTTTTGTTGCAACAATTTTTCCAGGAATGCAAGTCACTCTTGATATTGAAGTTGGCAAAGTAGGCTGGCCAGTCCTCTTTGAGAAGAACAACTTTTTCACGCGGTACAAGACTTACATTCAAATCTCTGCACGCACGGAAGAGAATCAAGACGAGCACCGCCAGTGGTGAGTATTGTTGACTTGGAACGATGCATGCTGGCGATTTTCTGCTTGCATGATCGCTGGCTGACTCGGTCGCCTGTCGAACAAAAAAAAAATCAAGGGAGGGTTTCGTCGAGTCCAAGTTGCGCATGTTCTTGCAATGGCTCGAATCAGCCCCAGGAGTGGATTACGTGCATCCCTACCCGAAGACCTTTTCGCAAACAGACACCACCGAGAGCGGACAGCCTGTTTATCTCACCATCTTTTACTTTGGCATGATGTTCAAGAAGCAAGGTACGTGTGGTTGACCATTTGGTGGATTGCGACCTCTTTGGGTGTTGTTGGTGTCTCATTGTTCATTGCATTTGGTCCTGCAGAGGGCACCGACCCTCGCGTCATTGAGCTGGGCAACATTGTGCGCGACTTCCGTGAAGCCATCAAGAACCAGAACGCCAGCTTTGTTAACAACCCACGCGTCGATTTGGTGGTTCTTCCCATGAAACGGTACGAGTTTTCGGCAATGAGTGATGGAGATTTTCTTGCGGCGGATGTTGTCGCTTATCGTTTTAACGGCCCTTGTTGTTTTCCCAATGCGTTTTTTCCCCCAATGCTCCAGCCCCCAACTCCCCGAAAACGTGTTTGAAGGAGGAGTCCGTCCTGCACCGACCAAGCGACCCAAGAAGGACAAGAATGCACCTGCGACTTCAGCACCTGCCGGCACCGTCGCAGCAGCACCTTCCACATCAGCCGCACAGTCCATCGCACCTTCCACAGCACCGTCCGCCAGCGCACCGGCTGTTGCGCCAGCCAAGCGCAAAATTGAAGAGATTGACGCTGAAGATGCTGCGTTGCACGAGTCGTTGTACGGCGCCCCAGTACCTGCCCATTCGAATGGAAATGGCTTTGATGCGCACGTTCCGCCAGCCGAATCGCAAGCTTCAAAGAAGTCTCGCACCGACGACAGTGGCGATGAGTGAGTTGGTTTGTAGTGATCGGCTTGGTGAGCCCAGCTGACCCGTTGCTTGCCTTGTTTGTTGTTGTAGATTGCGCGAAACGAATGAGCTCGAATCCTCGAGTGCACCAGCGGATGAGGCTGCGTCCGGCACCAACACGTTGGCTGCTGTGGCAAAGCGAGGCGCCATTCGCATGAAGCTTACTAAATAATGAGCAAGGGGAGATTGTGTTTGGCAGAGGATGTGTTTCTCGAGGTCAGAGCCTGAGCTGAGAAGGCATAGTTTCTGCAGACGGCAGTTTGTAAATTCGATGCATGATAGTGACGGCACGATGCTGATTCGAAGAGCTGGCAATTTTTTTTGAAGCTTTCGAGTTGATCCGTTTTCTTGCTCGCCCGTTCCCACTCCTTCCCCCCCCCCTCTTTTTGTTTGGAAACATTTCTCGCTACACGGTTCAGGTTACCTCTCAAGCTCTGACTCCCATTATGTTTTGTTGTTTGAATTTATGCCACTGGTTTGTGTATTCAAGCTCGTTTTTGTCGTTCGCGCTGATCAAACCCCATGAATAAAGATAAAACAACTTTATTTTCGCACAACTGGTCAAACTGGTTTGCACTGATTTGAGGGTCCGGTTCGGAAAAGGGTTGTTGCAATTCTGTACAGCATTGTTTGATCATACGTTGCCTTCGTTCTGACGAAGGCCGCTTTCGAGAGTGGCTCACAGCTGTGTTGAAGCTGAGAGCGAGCGAGCGCATCATGCATCAAGCGTGTCCTTGAGCGAGTCAAGCAGTGCAAGTCGGGGTCGAGATGAGCACGTCACCGCACCATAGGAATTGGATCAGTCTCAATGGAGAACGACAGAGTCAGCTCGGTCGGAACAACCACTGGAAGTGACGAAAGAAACTTGCGGGTGTCCTCATCAGAGTAAGTGAAGCGTGTGTCGATCTTGTATCCGACAGCTGTGCCTTCAGTCTGGCGACGATACAGTTTGCTCGGAAGCTGACCGATAGCCCTTTCCCGCTCAGGCGAGTCCGTGGCGGGACCCACATCAGCGCAGGAGCAACAATTCACCTTGATGTGGATTGCACCTGTTTTGACGCGATACACAGCCTGTGCCACGGTCCAGACAAGCAGAGCGGCGCGAGCACCTTGCTGGAGAGCCTTCAGTACCTTTGCCGGAGCACACGAGGCCTTGATCTCATGAATCGTGCAGCTAAACGCGACATCGTTGCTTTTCGTCCATTCGGTGATCATGTCGATTTCGACGGTTGTGCTTGGACTAGTCCAAAAGTTTGCCTGTGGTCAGAGCACGGCAAGACCTATGTGAGCAAACTCCTCAAACTCGAACACTTTCCAGGCGAGCGGCGTTACCTTTGCTTCTTCTTTGAGAGTCTTAGCAATGAGGAGAGCCACTGACGACTCGTAGTCGCCCGGAAACTGCTTTGAACCCAGGTTGACAAGCGTCGTGGTTTTCGTTGGCTCGAACCACACGTTGCCGTTTTGAACTTCTCGTTCAAAAAGCTGCTGGATTAGCTTGATCTGAGTTGCATTCGGCCATAGTGAGCAAAACGCATGGGTCAGAAGCAAGAGAGCGCTTAGAAACGGAGAAACTTACCAAGCAGTCATTCTTGCATCCGACTCCAGTCACACGCGGCTTCAGATCTTTCGCGAGCAGTTTGAGGTCTGCCAGAGTTCGTAACTCGACGTTGTTGAGGTTCTGAGGGTACTTGCTTTGCCAGTGTTTCTCTGCCTGAGCACCCCGCACGTCGGAGGTCATCATATCGCGAAGTTTGTTGATGTCCCTGTCAACAAGCGCCGCATGCGCTGCAGGAACCGCAGTCGTCGCAACACCAGGAGCTAGGTCATCAACCCGCGCGGGCTGGATTGGCGTGAGGGTCGAGGTCGCGGAAGTCAAAGCTGCTTGAGGCCGCCGAGGCGAACGATGGGAAGGAGGGGTTGGTGGCGGTGACGGCATTGGCGAGCTGACCGCCGCGGCCGCCGAAGCCACCGCTGAAACGGGGACACGCGGCGAGGCTGGAGGATAGACTTCAGGCCCATACCAAAGCGGACGAGAGCCGGTCTCGCGGCGAACAATTTGCCCAGCCTTTTCAAGGGCGTACAGTGTTGGGTTGATATCCTTTTGTGTGACTAATTTGGCTTGCTTTGCCACAGCCAAAGCATCGACACCAGAGTTTTTCAGAACAAAGTCGAGCGCAGTCTGCTCGAGAGGCGGAGGAGTCTTCATTGATATTTTGATGAGTGCGCTTTGCCTTTTCAAAAAAATTGTACTTTTTGGGACGAGGATGGAGTACTCTTGCAGCCTGATGACATCACTCTGACCCAAGTTGATCCGGTTTTGATTGTGGAGTACAAAAAGCAAGTTATGAAAATGCAAACGACTGTGAAGGTGTTCCGAGCTTGTGTCACCAAAGTGCACAAGAGTTGGAGAAAGCTACCAAACTGGAAAATTGGATTGAAACTTCCGAGCCAATCTTTATGAATTGTCAAGGAACAACAAGTCTGGAAATTTGCTCCTCGATCTAGGGTTGATTCGCCCCTCACAGTGAGCTCATGCGGCCTTCTGGTGTGCGAGCATGCAGTGCAAAAACTCGCCCAGAGCCGACTCGACAAAGGATGAGCCAAACGGCGGCAGGTGCGATTCGCTGAAACCAATGTGCCCGCCAGTGGGCGTAAGGCATAGCAGGGCGTTGGGGTTTGCCTCAAACGCGGCAAACGGGATGCCTGGAGGGACGTAGGTAAGGAGGGAAGGACGGAAGAAGAGAAACGGTCAACAACAAGACGGTGAGTCAAACTCAAGTGAAAGGCTGCCAACCAACAACACATCACAAAAACAACCAAACCTTGAACAGGAGAGAAGGGATCATCTGCAGCGTTGATGCACAAAAGCGGGATTTGCACTTTGGGCAGGTGATTGACCGAGCTGGCCTGCGAATAGTATTCTTGCAGCGAAGCGAAGCCAAACATCGGCACGACGACCGTTTGATCAAAGTCACGAATAGTCCGGCACTATTTTCGAAACGAGACGAGTGAGCGAGATCAGGTTGCACAGCGCATTTCAAGCTATAGCAAATTTACCTTCTCGACATCCTCAATGGTAAACCATTTTTCGGGGGCAGCGTCAAACAAGTGTCGGTGGCTGGAACAAACGGGCACAATCAGACACATGACCCAAAAATACAGGCATTCACACAAGAGCAGCAGCGCTAAAAACTCACCGGAAGATGAGATTTTTGAGGTTTTTTGCCAATCGCTGGTTGTACAGATAAAGGCTTGGGAAGGACTCGAGTGACTTGGTGGATCCAATGATATCCCAGGGGTTTGACACGGCGACAGCAGCTTGGAGGGCGGTGGAGGTTCCTGTTCAAAGCGAAAGCATTTTTAGTGAAGAAACAAGAGTTCCGCCAGATTTTGATGATGGAGCAAAACTGACCTCGCTCGGCCAAGTACTAGTTCACATCACGCGAAAAAAGTTCAAGATGATTTCAAGTGAGCAAAAGAGGGCTTGAAGCCAAAGTGACAATTGAATCGGCGGTGTTACCTTGATCAAAATCATCGACCCGAGCGAAACACCAACAGCAAACAGGGGTGCTTTCGGGTGCTTTGCATGAACATGTTGGACCACCTCGGCAATGTCATCCGTGAACGTTGCCGAAAATCCGCGAGGAGTCTGGGTAAGTGAGAAGATGGTGAGTCGAGAACACAAAGACCAAGAACGAAAAAAGCAGGAGACGTACAATAGCCACAGAGTTGCCACAGCCTCGATTGTTAAACACGACAGTTCTGCGCGACGACAAAAGAAATTCAATGGCGGGGTGAGACAAAGACGTTGGTTTGTGACGATCGCATTTGGCTGAAAGGCAAACAAGCCCAAACCTACCGCCATTTGTTGCGTTCGGCTTCGAGCACAATGTGCTTGACGTAATTTTCGTTGGAGCCGCCCGTCAAACCATGCAGCACGACAACCAGCGGCGTCGACTCCTCCATGTCCGGGATGTCGTGCCAGTCCAAAGCGACTTGTCCGCCATCGCTCATGCCAACGAGCTCTCTGTTCAAAGATCAATCAGTGAGTTGAAGCAAGTGCACTGAGCAGAAAAAAAAAGTGTGACAGTTTCCGGCCTGATCTGAGCAGAAGGTGACGAAGCGGTTTCAAGTTTCGCTTTTTGAGCCCCTTTTTCCATCGCTGAACGCTGAAAGCTGAGTCTCATTGTTTGGATTTTGTTTGCTCGATTTCTGAGCGCGCGCGTTCATTTTCTCAGGGTGATTCAGCTTTTTGGCAGGTGGTGTGCCAGATGTCCATCGCTCGGCTCAGAATGTCAAAACCACGTGCGGAAACCAATAAAGGCGAAAACCGCTGCTATTCACAAAACCCCTGGACTCATCGCTTTTGGCGGGCAAAGCAAAAAAGGCAGGCGTGAAACAGAGCACACAACAGTGGAGAAGCAAGCGGAGAACGCGGGTGGAGTGGAAGAGCTCGGGTTTGGGTTTGGGCGGAAGCGGAGGAGAGGGAGTGACGCGGCAATCCACCTCCCTCCATCCAGAACGGAGACTTTTGCGACTGACTCGGATCCCTCCACATCATCCAAACACTGCGATGGAATCGTATCGTATTGTGGAAAATCCCGCCGCCGCAACGAGGGAGAGGAGCGACAGTGAAGGAGCGGAAACGAACGAACCGCTCATAGGCCACGTCGGGATTGGTTCGCAGTATGACGCCAAAGACGGTCTGCGCGTGGCCGTTCAGCGCCCACCACGTTGGCAGAAACTGGCGCGAGAGTGTCTTCATGTTGTTGCGGAGCGTGCGGGCGAGCCGCGACTCGGGATGGTGGTGCAGCGTCGGCGGCGTGCGGTGGGTCGCAATTCGCGCCATCAGCAGCGCAGTGGCAACGATGGCCGTGCCAGACGCCAGCACAACCCATCCAAAGTCAGCAAGCATGGACATTAGTTGGAACGACAAAAGGAAACAAAGAGAAGAAAAAAAAAGGAGTGGTTGTTGCAAAGAGTTGGGAGAAGGAAGGGAAAACAATAAAAAAAAAAACTTAGACTGAACCAAACATACTAGTAATTTAGCAACCCAGAACACCAGATCTACAATCGTAGAGAAGCAAACAGCGGATCATCAATCAGGGTGGACATGCTGTCGCATAACAGGATGCGCTTTTGGAAGGCGCGAAGCGCTCGCTTCTCGTCGCAAACGGATTTCTTGCTCTCGCTCGGATACTTCTTCTCATTGATGAGCTTGTCGGCCAAGTAGTGCACCCACAGGACGTTCGTGTACGGATGGAAGGCTTCCCAGACTTGTCCGGTGAAGTCGCGCATCTTGCGATAAATGTCAAACTGGTAGTCGCCCTCGCCTTCAAAGATGGCTGGATCTGCGGACAGATTGCTGCTCATGACAGCTCCAGGCTCTGCGAATCCGGGTCATCAAGCAAACGGTGAGGTTCAAAGAAAAGTCAATAGAGTGAGTCGCGGGCGTGCCACAGCAAAGCAGCAGCCAAACAACCAACCTGGTTCCAGGCGTGACAATGTAAAGTCAATGATGCTGGCGCGTAGTCCCATATTGTCAATACGGACTACTGGTTGGCCAGCACCCATGCCATACGAAGTCACACTTGCTGCTTCGCGCATGATGAGAATGTTGCCCCAATGAAGATCTCGGTGCTCGAATTTGAATCGCTATTTTTCGAAAGTACGTGTTTTTCAAACGCGCCAGTGAGTATGGATTCCAGATGTCACATATCAACCATTGAGCTTGCTTGTTTGCTTACCTTCTCCGCCACCGCAATGCCAAGGCAGACTTGGTACAGGACGCACTTGGCCTCGGCGAACGTGTTGAACTCAAAGTGTTCCAAATCGCGCCCACCATTGGCGAACGTAAACACAACAAACAACTGGCGATTGTTAAAGCAATCTGAAGCGGGACGAGACGGAAATGGGCGGTGAGCGTCAGAACAGTGTGACAACTCGCGACGGAGACATACCAGGCCGATCATTTTCCGACTCGCGCTCCGTGTCGTACTTGTCCCAGCTGGCCAGTAGCTTCTTTGGATACGGTCCATGGCAAAGATGAACGCTGGGCCACACATAGAGACAAAGCAAAAAACAAAACCAAAAACAATGTTAGTGACGAATGCAGCGGATTCAAACATCGTTCAACAGAGCCTCGCTTACCTCATCAATTCGATAAAGGAGGTACTACTCAAGCCAGCAAAGTCGCTGGAGTTGGAGCTGGTCGCAACTTTCTTCAATGCGGGTGAGGCTGACTTGGATCCGGCACTCTTTTTGCCGTTTCGCCGAGCAGGGCGTTGCTCGGTGTCAGCTGCTGCCTCCTCACCACTCACATTGGCGGGCACTGAAGCTTCCAGAACAGCACCGGAGTTGCTAGCCCGCAAGGTGTGGAGCGACCGAGTGATAATCACCTCGGGCAAGACTGCAGTCACCGACAACGGCCGACCCCCGTTAATCTCGACATTCAAGGCATCGGATTTCGAGGCTTCCTCGTTTGACATTGGCATGCCCTTCGACTTTGTAAGACACCCATCAATCGGAACCACCTTGAACGCAGCGTCCCGTCCTTGCCATTTGGCTTTGAAGACTTCACCGTACGCGCCTTCGCCAATCTTGATGCAGGTTTTGAGCATGCTGGAGCAGCAAGAGAGAAGTGAAACACAAGCAAGCAGCAATTTTCAACAGTTGCAACTTGGTGCGAACGAAACTTACTCTGCACCGAGATGCTGCTCCAGACTCGGAACATTGGTTTGTCCGCAAGCCGCCAGCAATCGCGTGCCAAGAGGAAGAGTCGTATTGGCGGCAATTGCAGGTAGAGAGGAGGAATGCGAGTTTGTGCTGTTGTCTGCAGCTGCTGGAACGGGACTCGGGCAAGTTGGCGCCGAGTCTGTTGTGGTCTCTTCCTCCGTGTGCGGCTCTGGGACTGCCCCCAGTGGCGCGGGTGAGTCGGACGGCATCGAGAGGGATGGCAAAGGACTCTGCAGGAATGCCAGAGAGTTTGAGTTGGAGAGGTGCACACAAATGATCAGCTCAAAGAGAATTGATACGTACTGGAGACGGCAGCGTGACGGAGGCTGCTACGGGGCTAGCAGAGCCCGATCCATTGGTTAAGGAGGTATCTAGTCAAGCCATCAGCCACCTGACACGTCAGAAACAGCTCAGAAAAAACACAGACGCAACGCACCTCCACTCCCTCACCTAAAAGGATGCGTGGATGCAATGATCGGCGGCGATTTCCACCAATGGTCATGCGCCGGAAAAGCGCGTTGGTTTCCATCACGGCGTCGTCTTCAAAGTCTGGCCAGGATCCGCCAAGCATGCTCAGATCAGCACCAGTTGAAGGGACCGGGTCGGCAGGCTGTTGCTCCTCCTCCTCCTCCTCCTCCTTCTCCTGCGTTGCTGTTCCCAGTACATCAGTTGACGCTGCATGATGTGCTGGGGACTGTGGCGGTGAACTGCTGATCGTGACGGTCTTTCGCCTTGCCTTGACTGGCGACAAGACACCACCGACTTTCTCCGCCATCCACTCTGCATCCGCGCTCATGCGAACAAACGGAGAATCCATTGTCAAGTCAACGGAATCATCCAAGACAAAGCGAGCCTCTGGCGATGAGTGCATTGCGAAAGCGTTGGTTGGTGGATGCTTTGGCATCGGAGAGCTGGCATCAAAATGGGAAAGAACGGGAGATGCAACTGAAACTGCCGCTGTAGCGATCGACTTGCGGTTTGCAGGTGCAGCAGGAGCGCGCGAGTAGCGATGGTGGTTGTTGCCTGGTTGGCGCTGAGCTGTTTCTTGCAAATTGTGAAAGTCGAACGACGTGTCAAAGCTCATCGACAGATCGGCGAAAGCGACTGCCTTGCGCGCTCGTGGTACGACAAAGCCAGTTGAAAGTACGGGTGCAAGTTGGGTAGCTTGGCTCTGGCTTGCGGGCTCGACAGACTCGATAGACTCGACAGACTCGACTGACTCGACATTGTCCAGCACGAGGTTTGATGGTTGCTCGTGCGGCGATGCCTCTGGTTGCTCGTCAATGTCAATCGATGCAGGTACCATGGTTTGCGGAGATGCTTGCTTGTCCTCGGTTTGTGTCTTTGGAGAGACTGCAGCTCCCTTGCCAGCTTTCGCAGCGCGACCACCACGCCGTGCCGGAACAACTGGATTTTCGGCATCCATCGCCTTGTTGGTAGCAGTCTTGGGGGCACTCGCTTTCTTCTTCGAGCCTTTGCTTGATTGTTGTGGCGACGCTGGCGACATTGCGTTGGTTGAATCGGTTAATACGAGCACAGGTTGAACTGCGTTGCCGGCTTGCTTCGAGGAGCTGCGCTTGGGTTTGCTCGATTTTGCTTCTGCCACCGGACTATTTTTCGAGCACATCATCAAGACAATCATCATGAGCATCATCGAGTGAGCTCAAACAAATCCTTTCTCTTTGAAAAGCGGACGAAAGTTGGTGTCAAAATCAGAAAATCCCAAAAACGGAAATCAAAAAGTTTGGCGCGCTTTTTCAAAATCCAATTCTGACTCGTATTCTGGTTGTCGGTTTGTTTTTAGGCCATCCGTCAGATGCATGTCCAACTTGCAATGCGATCAAGTGCGCAAGTGCATCGTGTCTCGTGCTATTGTGGTACGACCGCTCCATTGGACGCGGAATGCTGAGCAACAAAAAGCTCCATTGTGGGGGTGCAAAAAAGTGAAACGGTTTCAAAATCTCACCTGTTGCTTTCACTCCCACTGCTACAACTACTACTGCTGCTGTTGCTGCTCGGGCTGGGTGAAAAAGCACTTGAATCGCTTGCTGATGCTTTGGTGGATGTGGTGGTGGACGTGGCTGGCTTGCGACCACCGCGGCGGCGTAGAGTGGGCGGCGGTTCCAGCTCGGGCTGGCTCGACTCGACCACGGGCACCGCGTCGTCGGCTGCAGTTACCTCCGCTGGCAATGTCACAGCTGGTTTGTCTTCATACACAGACCACGTTGAAGACGTGCCGACGGCTGGCTTTGGGTTGGCCGGTCCAAAGCTGCTTCCTGCGAATCCACCAAGAGCGTTGCTAAAGCTGCCGACGCCGCTGCTGCTGCTGTTGCTCGACGTGGCCATCATGGCATCGAACGCCGATGCAGCATTGTTGAACATGGAAATGGAGCCGAGTGCATTGTAGCTGGTCGTGGTCGTAGTCGTCTCGGAAGGACTGTCCAAGCCGCTGTTGCCGCTCCCGCTCACCAACTGAGCCCAAGGATCGTCGCGCACCACCCGCGTCCCTGACTTGCCGAACGTCTTGATTGTCTTGTACATTTGATGATGTAGAACAACACAGTCAAGCTGAAACCAATCAAACCCCGAGCGAATAGAGGAAAAATAACAAAAATAGACGAAACGAAAGACTGAGCAAAGCTTGACTGAGCCAACGTTCCTAAATCTGGACCTCCCTCCTGTTACAATCAAACCCAGAACATGACCTAAATTACTGCTGAACCATGCTAGAATGGCTGCGGAAGTCGATGAATCGTGGATTTGAGAATATGGCGATGCCTGACTGCCTGACTCTCATCTCTCACCTCACTCTCTCTCGTTCCGCTCCTCCATCGTTTCAAACTTTCTCCTTTTTTTGGATTTTTTCAACCACTTCAATCCTTCTTCTTTTTTTCTTTGTGTCTTTGCCCCATTATTATCGCTACGCTTACCGTTGATCTTTGTCCCTTCTCGCTTCACGTGTCGCTGCGAAATCATCACCAAATGCAAACCGCAGCCAGCGCCGCCGCCGCCGCTTCGAGCTCATCCCACGTCCACCAGCCGCACCAGCCCGTCAGCGTCAAGCAGATCTTCCCCTTTGTACGGAAGCCAAGCAGGCTGAGCTCGCGCAACCGACCGTCCAAGAGCGACCCGCGCCCGCTCGCCCGCTTTTACCACGCAGACCACAAGCTGAGCAAGGCCGTTGCGCGTCTCGACGCAGCCACCGTCGCTGCCTCGTCCGCCTCCACCGCCGCCCCGTCGGCATCCTCTTCAGTGTCGTCGCCGTCGTCGGCTCGTGCAGGGGCGTCTGGATCTCCGCCGGCTGGCTCGAGTGGCAGCGCGTCGGAGTTGTCCCAATTGAATCAACTGAACGGTGGTGGCGTCGTTCAGCCACAGCCGAGCCAGGCCGCCGTCGCCGCTGCAGTCGCATTGGAGGCGGCCATGGCCAAGGTCCACACACTGCAGGCGACCACCCTTGCGCTCATTCTCGAGATTATCGCTGCGCGACCCAACGCCGCCACCATTTTCGCCGACCGATCCTACCGCACACGATTTCCGAGTGACGTACAAGTGCAGCTCGAGGACAGGTACCTCGAGCACGTCCTCTTTGCTGCAGAGTCCATCGCTTCGGGAATGCCCATCCTGGACGTGTCAGACGACCAGGAGGGCTTGGAACCGAACGAACAACCCGTGCCGCCACATCTCGTCCCTCCAGCAAGACAGTTATGCGCGTCGTTGCAGGCCCTTCGATTCCGACTGCAGATGCAAGCTCTGACAGATGTGGCCGGCGATCTTGAAGCACTGTCGGACGTGCTGCACGATTTCGATACGGCGTGGTGCACTTTTGAAGAAGCGTGCATCAAACACACGCTTGCATCCGCCGTCGAGCAAGTCGACATTGCTCAGGAGCATCGCCAGAGGATGGCAGTGCTCATGAGCGAGACTGTCATGTGGGCGATGGAGCACAACTATGTCACAGTGGAGCAGATTCAAGACTACGAGCCGTCGTTGATGATTACGCTCCCTCGTCTGGCTTTGATATGGTACGGTCGGAGGAAAAGGGGGGGGGGCGAGGTTTGGAAAATGGAAGAGATGGGAATGGTTGCAAGCACACGGACATGGGTTGCATTGTGATCCAAGGTCGCAGGATTTGACTCATTGGTTTGTTCTCGTTTTCCTCGTTTTTCCTCGTCTTGGTCAAACTCCCCCCTCTAACAGTGGATTGAACATCCACCCCGATGGCATCGACGTTTCGCCAGAAGGAGCCATGTCTATGCTGCAAGAACAAGTGAACGAGCTCACGTGCCTCAAGGCGCTACTCGCCCCATTGTCGGAGGCCCAGATTGACCGCTTGTGTCGCATGCTGATTGCGTCAAACTCGGTCGACGACTTGTCAGAGCCACCAACACCGTCCGCGTTGCCTGTGATGGCGCCGTATGGCACCCTTCGTTCAGAACTTGCTCGAGTTTTTGCCTTCCCCGCTCGGAGACCAAGCAATGCTTCCTCGTTGGGTCCCGACTCGTTGTTGCGCTACAGCTTGACAAGCATCAAGCAAGGCCCTGGTCCCGGCAGTGCTGCTGCAACCAGCAAACTCAACCATGCTTTGACGCCGGATGCGACGCCCCAAAGTTTCACAGACCCGTTTCAGACGAATGCTGCTCCCGAGCCTCTTCCTTCGCTCCAGCTCTTGTTCAAGCAAGTATCCGCGGTTGCCGACACCCTTCATAGTGGGCCGCATGCCAAAGAGCTTGTTGAAATTCTCAAAACCGTGTTTGGGATGTACAATGACGCTGCTCGATGAATTGCCTTTGAGGGCTGCTGTTTTTTTAGGAATCGGATTATTGAGAAACTGTCGTTTAGGAAAATCAAAAGCTAGTTTAATATAGCGGTAGTAGCTGGTTAATGGAGACAATACAAAACAATAGGCACACGGACAAGAAGCGAGGATGGATGCAGAACACAGACACAACAATTTTTCAAAACGAAAAGGAGAATATGTCAGGTACG